TAATTAATTGTGCTTCACACTTCCTGGTTATTTAGTTAATATTATGTCCTTCTTGGGTCTCTGAGGGAATAAGACTAGACAGTTATAATTTTCCTTGTTTACCAGATGCAGAAAATAAACTCATTAAAGAAGTGTAAAGTATACAAGGTTGAGAGACACCAATTTGCATGGTAATGCTGATAGAAAGTAAGTTATGTACAAGACTTTGAACTCACCAAGATAGGATGGAGAGTGGAATATTTTCTCTGGATTTATCAATGCAAACGGATTAAACAGTGTTGATGTATTTTTTGCCTCTGCATATTATATATAGATATTGCATATAGCTTTTCTTAAATTAGTTATAGCCTTTTTAAATTTTAGACATTTGCCTTTTTTCTCCCGAGTCCCGGGATTAAAGGTCTGTGCCACCATTCCTTGGCCTGTATGGCTGCCCTGTGTGGCTGTTTTGTGTTCTGTTCTTCAGACATGCTTGCTTTATTAGAACCCAAATAATAACCACTATAAGTCAGTCTTAGGATGCAGTCAATCTGAGGATGGAGTCTGAGCATGCAGTCTGAGGATTAGTAGAGACAGGATCGCCCCTTCGGTCTGAGGTTTCGGTAGAGGTAAAAGGTCTCTTTGGTGGCTGGTTGCACTGTTTCTCTGACCTCTCAGCTCTCACCCCCTAATATCTGACTCCTGGTTTTTATTATTAGGACAAATTGGAATTCATGCTGCAGGTAGGTTTTGATGTTTCAAAAGCCCATTCCAGGCCCAGTGTCTCTCTCCTCCTATTACCAGCAGACCAGTAGGTAAAGCTCTCAGCTACTACTCCAGAACTATACTGGTCATCTTCCTAATAATGGTCATGGGCTAACCCTCTGAATCTGTAAACCAGCCCTACGTTAAATGCCTTCCTTTCTAAGTTGCCTTGGTCATGGGATCTCTTCATATCGATAGAACAGTGATTAAGACAGAAGTTGGCACCTGGAGTTGCACTTCACTGTGACAGGCCTGACCATGCTGCTGTTTGGAGGACTTTAGGACTTTGAACTAGAAAAGCCACTAAAAGCTTTAAGTGGGACTTAATGGATCATCCTTTGGGTAAACAAGTCCAGCTCAAAAAGTTTCAAAGGGGAGCAATGTTAATATTAGCAGCTGGGCTACAGACCATTCTTGTGATAGTTGGACGAAGAATGTGACTGCATGTTGCCCCTGTCATAAAAATGTGCCTTGAACTAAATTGAAATGCTTTGGGTTAAGGTTAATAGTAAAGAAGATTCCAAGACAGCCTAGTATTGATTATAGTATGGCTATTAGATCTTCAAGAGATGCAAAGGAGCAAGCAAGGCAAATAGGAATAGTACACCTACAGTTTGAGAAAAAAAGGAACACTAGGAAATGTAATGTTGGAGCCAAGTCCTGTGCTCAAGGAAATAAAGGTTTTAAAAAAGACCCGATTCAAAATGGAATAAAAGGAGTAGTGCCCTCAAGGCAAAACCCCACCAGTTAAGCGTCCAATTTATGAAAAGGCGTTAAAGGAAAACTTAAGCAGCAAAGGAAATCATCAACAACAGAAAGTGTATGCAAATATATTTCAAGAAATTGGCTAGGTCCCACCTTCTGAAAGTAGAAGAAATTGTCAGCTTCGGCTGGCCATGTACTTCTGGCTGTACAGTTAAGAAGGCTCTAGGAAAGAGGTTCTAGACTCTTCTTCCAAGGTTACAGAAAGCTGCTGAGTCCAGACATATGGGAGTAGAAGGCCATTGTATGAAACTGTGAAGGTAAAGCCTGGTTTGCTTTGGAGACCCCAAGATGTTGAATATGGTAGTGCCGTGGAATACCTGCCAAGGAGAGCTGCTAATGGGCGTGGAGCAGTCCAAGAGAAAGAGATGCATTGCAGTCAGCAAAGCAGACTTTGGAGGTTTCCCTGCTGGGTCTTGTTTTGGTCTCATTTTTCTCCTTTTCCTCCGTTTTGGAATGGTAATGTATATTCTGTGCCATTGTATATTGAAAGTATTTGTCTGCTCTTTGCTTTTGCTTTTATATGGGGTTACAGTTAAGAGATTGCCTTACTCTCAGAGGAGACTCTGGCTTTTAAACTATCTTAAGATGTGATAGATTCTGGGACTTTTGAAGTTGGACTGAGTGCATTTTGCATTGTTATATAACTAGAAGCCTGTGGGGACTAGGGAATGGAATGTGGTAGCTTGAATGAGAATGATCCCCATAGGTTCATTATTTAATACTTGGCCCTGATGAGGATATAAAGCTCCTGCACCATGCCTGCCTGCTTCCTGCTACAATGGTCATAGACTGACTCTCTGAAACTATAAGGAAGTGTGCAATTAAATGCCTTCCTTTATAAGTTGCCTTGGTTATGGTATCTCTTCGCAGCAATAGAACAATAACTAAGACAAAGGGTTATAGTTTAATGGTAATGTATTGGTGTGTCAAGTTGACAAATGGTCAATTGGCCTGTTCATTTGTATGTCATTTGTAACATGCTCTAGGGAAAGGGAACCTCAAGAAAATGTGTCCATCTGATTGCCTATAGGCAAATCTGTAGGGCGTTTATCTATTAATGATTGACAGGAATTTCTCCCTAGTTTGATCAAACTTAAAATTTCTGTTTACTAGTTTCTTTTGGAATATTGTTTTCCAATTTCTTTTGAAAAGCAAGAGAGTGGGTTATGACTCAAAGTAGATTGAAGATGGATGGATGGATGGATGGATGGATGGATGGATGGATGGATGGAGAGATGACTTTTAAATAGGAAGAGCCCCTTTGGGGTGTGCCCAATCATAGCTGATACTTAGGTGGTAACCTTGAGTTTTTCAACTGTGAGACAGAAAACTCTCTATGTAGAGCTGCACTATCGGGTACCATTTCATTTGGAACGGGGTGGAACAGCTTGCTCACACTTGTTTCTTGTACTGTAGGGTTGTGGATTTTCTTCTGAGTAAGTCTTGGCAGGCATGATTCATAGGAGTTAACTCCGAAAGTATTTGGAAGAAAAACCTGGAACAATGAAATAATTACTGATTTGAAAGCAAGCCATCTGGATTTTCAGAGTGTGAGCTAATTAGAAATATTGTATTTTTCACCCGCATGTATTCCCTTGCTTGCATTTTCTCCTTTCATCCCCAGTTCCTACTCCCCCTGCTGCTGACACACTCTATTCCCAGTTCTCTAGATCTCATGTGAAGTCTTCTTTTCCGCCTTCCCCATCATCATTTCCTATCTGGTGAGCTATTGTCATTAGCAACAAGAGCAAAACAAGCCCGAGGCTCAGGAATCGCAAGGAAAATGAATAATCCTCTTTGATGAGGGGTGGCTATTCTTCTTGCTCTCCCTTGCTGTACAGTGCCCGCAGAGCTGTGAAAATATCAGTTAATGTGTGCTCATCTGCCTCTGGGGCCTTTCTGTCAAGGCCACTCTGGACAAAGAGTTGCATTTGTTTTTGTAAATTGCCTCATTAGAATATTATACATCTCCATAGAGAATGTTCTTGAGATATATACATCCTTTAGCCCTGAGATTACATATTTGGCTGATACTAGTTCATTAAAACCCTCTCAGATTTTCACACCTGGGAAATTTGGAAAGAGCAGAGAAGAGTCATCCAAAATCAACATCACAACTGAATTTCTCTTTTCAAAGACTGATGAAAATGCAAACTAAAAGCCACTTTTAATAAGTTAACAAAAGAATAATTGTGGTTGAAATAGCTTCCTTCCATAGCCTTCATTTGTTATATGAAAAGATAACATTTTCTCCCCGAAGAAGCACATATTAAAAACCAAAAAAAAATATTTAAAGCTTGTGGGAGGAACCTTATTTTTAAAATAAATTTGGAAGTAGTGATCCTTTTATCAGTGCTTGGCAGTCCTACTACCAGCTGCGTCTATTGAAACAAACCAGGGAGGAAACGACAATTGCGGGAAGAGATACTGTCACTCAAGCTCAGCCTTGAGAAAATGGAATGGAGACCATATGCTTTGTAGAAAAGGAATCCCCATTTTTAAACGAGGAGGTGGCCAGGGAGTCTTTTATGCTGCCATGGATGGGAAATTCCTGCTTAATGGTCTCTGTTCTCCAGTGAAAGTCCCTTGAAAGGCAGAGACGGTCTGACCCTTCTGCCAGTGTCCCAGGATGCACACCCCTTATGCTCGTTAACATGCTAAAAGGTACAGGAAGGCTGATCTAGTTAAGTGAGAGGACCAAGTGTGGAGGGCTAGTGTGGAAGTGAGTAATGGCGACTGATGTGACTTCCAGGGCTTTGTTTACTTCCGGTATCTATCTCAGCTAAGGACAACTATTGTTTCCTAATAAGGCCCTTCTCCTTTATTAATTTATTCTCACTTTTCCCTCTCATTTTTAGTTTGTTCTCTTGTAGGAATGCTTGAAAAGCTTAGCCTTATGTGAAAGCAAAATATCATCTACCTAAAAGCTAGTGCACTGGTACAAGGAGGTGTTCTTTAAGACAAAAGGCATGGTATCCACAAACATGCTGCAGGAGCTGGACAGACGGCTCAGCGGTTAATACACTTGCCTGCTCTTCCAGAGGTCTGGTCTTGAATTCCTACCACCTACATGGCAGCTCACAACCTTCTGTAACTCCAGTCCCAGAGGACCCAATACTGTCTTCTGACCTCTGAGGGCACTACATACATGTCATGTACAAACATACATGCAAATAGATCATCCGCACACATAAAATAGAAACAACATCTCAAAACAAAACTGTAATCGGAACTGCTTGTTTGTTTCCCAGACCTGAATAATCACACAAAAACTATATTAATTACAACACTGCTTGGCCAATGGTTCAAGCGTATTCCTAGCTAACTCTTATCTCTTAAATTAACCCATTTTTATTAATCAATGTATCACCACAAGACTGTGACCTACTGGTAACATTTTCTGGCGTCTTTGTCCTTCAGCAGCTACATGGTATCTCCTTGGCTCTGCTTACACCCTCTCTATAGCTCCGTTCAAATTTCCCACCTGACTTTACTCTGCTAAGTCATTGGTCAAAATAGCTTTATTCATTAACCAGTAAAAGCAACACATATACAGAAGGACACCCCACATCACAAAACAAAATAAAACAAAAATTAAAAAAAAAAAACATGAAGCCAAGTTTCTGAAGAGAACGTCATCTTCCACTGAACCTTCAGTGAAGCAAAGTTGATTTACTGGTTAGAACTTGAGTGATATGCAGAAGTTGGAATGTTTTAAGTCCAGAGCCGAGTTGGGTCCCCTTTAGCCCACTGAAGAACCATTTACTTTCCTCCTCAGTACCAGACTTAACATCTTCATGACCAGTAGGTAAATCCTTTTGAAAGTAGGAGCGAGCAGGTTCCTCCTTTGTAACCCACCAGTGGGCTAAGGTTGTTGTTGGATAGATCTGAGGCCCACAGAAGAGATCTCCATGCCTTTCTGTAACCACCTCCCTGTTGCTTCCACTCTCTTATCTGTTGGAGTCATTTTCTATTACCATAAATACAAGATAAAACCGTTATCACCTTTAAACATGGCATTTGAGGTCTGAAATCTGCTCCTGGGCCATAGCCCGTTCTAATTGGCTCCATAATTGAATATCTCTACGGGATTTACTTTGAGGTAGGAGTTGTGATTCTTTTGCATCTACAATAACTTAAAAAGGAAAGAAGGTCAAAACAGGAATCATGTCAGAAATCGTTCATTGAGGTTTTATATCTAGAAAAACTAACCCAGTAAGTTTTAGAGCTGGTTGGTTTTGGGAGGTGATCACTAAGGTCCCCAAAAGGGCATGCGCTGATCACGCTCTGGCCCCAGCTTCTCAAAAGCACCATCCTATGAACTCAGAAATTCAAGTACACTATCCTATGAGCTTCAAAATGTTCAAAACCTTTCCAGTCTAAAATTCAGCAAAAATTTGTTGTTATGCAGAGGAGGCTACCATCCAGATTGGACATCTGAAGAACACAAAAATTGCAAATAAAAGGCACCAATCAAAAAGGTGCCAGGACACCCAAGGACAGCCATCACAATGCCATTTGTTTTGCCTAGAGCTAATTCTTTTCACATGAGTGTCTTATGATTTGCAGTTATTTTCAGAAATGATTAAGTTTGTGGATAAATATATGAACTATCACCCAGAAAGAGCTGCACAGCTCAGCCTCAGGGAGAGTACAGCAGTAAGGGTTCACTTCAGTGACTTGTAAGAGTCAGCTACCCTATTCCCATGGACACATTCTTTTACATTCCTTACACTGATTATCATGGAAGACCCAGGACTGCTGAAACACACTGTTCATGCAAGGATATGCTTGGGATTTAGCATTGAATATGCAGGCATGCAGACAGAGTATGCTGGAGAAAACACTCACTAGAGACATTGAGGAATATGAAGACAAGGTAAAGATGTGAGTTTCTAGTATTGAGGAGTCACGTAGAGGGAAAAGGGGAAGAGTCAAATCAACAAAATCAAGTTATATTTGAAAATACATAACAAAACTTAGTATTGTATATACTGATAAATAATATTTTTAAAAAGATAATGATAAACTACCAGGGGTGCGCAGGTTAAGTGGTATAAGCTGACCCTTGAAACAGCGCACAAGAGAAAGTCTTAGTTGCCTCCACAGAATTCAGTTATATGGGGAAAATACATTCCTAAGCTGTCTTATGTGGGCGGATGGTAGAAAAGTATAAGGGGGGGATGACAGTATCCTGCAGGTGCTAGTTCCACGGGGATGGAGTATTTCTTGAACAAATAGTTGTGACTCTGTTATCAAACAGTGGTAGGAAATATGTACCTGATTCCTGTTAAGCATATGAATTCCAGTAGAACTTCCAAAACATCACAGATATTATCAAATTATCCAATTAGCAAAAAGATAGGAAAGAGTGAGAAAATATAAGAAATAACAGGACCATAAAACAAATAAGGGCAAATGAGGGTATCATCCTGTGTGCTTTAAGAAAGATGATTTAGTAACAATTTTATTTGACAAAACACTTGTGTACCCAGGCTACAAAATAATTTGAGGGAAGTGTTAGAAAAATCATTCTGATAATATCAGGAAATCTTGTACAAAACGAAAAATAATCCAGAAAGCTTGAACTTCTGGATACGAAGAAATGTAGCAAATTTCAGAGTTCGGGAAATTCCTTGTGTTTTTTTCATGGAGCGCAAGATAACAATATTGTAAGTTACTAGACTTTTCCTTTTTGTTCTTTATTAAAGCTGTTACATGGCACACAGACATGAAATGCGTGCCCATCACTTTCACCCCACCTCTTCCCACAAATACCATTTCATTTTGTTGTTCTGATTTTGCCTTGACAGGATTGGACTGAGGGCCTTCGCAAGCTAGGCAAGCACTATACTACTAGGTTACATGCCTAGTTTGTCTATGATATATTTAAAATTGACTAGAGAAGTACAAAATTCCCAACCATTAAAAATGACTGATAATTTAAAAGATCAAATGCTTATTATCCTGATTTTATCATTACATAGTATATAACATGCGTTGAATTCCCACAATATGCTATAAAGATGTATAAATGTTATGTATCAATTAAGCACCCATTATCATCGAACCATTCTAGTGCCTTGTAATAAAGGCAAAGATATAATAAAATAATGGGAGAGAATTAAGGCTCAATCTCTGATACTCTCTTTAGCTATCTATCTAACAAGTAGGAAGGTGATGGTTTATTTAATAATCATCATCTGTGCTAGAGTTTAAATAATAGTGAGCATAAAAGTAGCCTTTTGAGAACTGCTTTTGGAGAAAACCCATCAGTTATAATCCTGTCTCGAATGGAAATTACTACAGGCTACCACAGTAAAAAATAAATAAAAATGTAATTTAACTTTTTGAAAACAGTTTATAAATTAGTGGCACTCTGGGAAGATTGTTATCTGATCACAGGTGAAGGTGATATGATTCTGCCTTGGTGATAGATTTGTCTCTTGATAGCTAGAATTGCTGTTCTTTCCTTATTACTGGTGTATTCAAACCACCCTGAAGATCACTCTTACATGGTCAAACCACCTTGATACTTGATAGCAAGGCAAACAAATGACCGGAGAGGCCCCTCCTTCCTCAGTCAAGACTGCACTTATAGTCAGCTAGGGCAGCAAGTATAGGGATTTGCTAAAGAGCTTGCTCTGAGTTTTCCTTAATATTTCTAACCCTAAATAGAGGCAGGAGGTCTCCCTAAAGCAGAGAGGAAACCTAGCACCGAGTCTCTGTCACATGCCAATTCATGTAATCATTGCAGTAACTATGGAGTATGTATTCCAAGAAAGGAAACATACCCTGGCAAGGTCATACAATTTTCCGTCTCTTGTATCAAGTAAGTAATGAGATTAATTTCTTAAAAATGAGGAAAATTTATTCATTTTGGTTTGTATTCAAATATAGTGAGGAGCTTATAAACTACAAGAAATTTTGCTTCATTTTCACAAGGTACATGCTCTATGGAACAGCATCCAAACCAGGGAATAGCATTATTAAAATCTCTGAAGGCTACCCCACAGCATCCTTCTGCTCTCCTGATCTCCAGAACTTATACCTCCAGAGTGGTTAGGTAGCATTCATTTAGACTGTTTCTGATTTTTGTATAAATGAAGTCATAAAGCACACTTCATGTCTGGCTTCTTTCTATTGACATTGTAGTTGACTCTACTGTTAGAGATGATTAATTTTGCTCATTTTCATTACTGTAGCACCTCACTGTGTGAATATACTACAGTTTACACATCATTCTATTCATGAACATGTGGATAGTTTTCAGTTTTTAACTATTATGAATAGTGCCAGCATGAGCATTCTTATATATGCATCTTTCTTAATACACAAAAGTTCACTTTCTGTCAGATAAATACTTATGAATATAATTCTGACATCGTGAGATTTGCAATAGAAATCTTGAATCTGTATCATAACTTTTTATTTACAATTTTCCAAAATAGCTATACAGCCATGAAGAGAATTCTCATCTCCACTATTCGTGTGAACAAAGGCAGATTTTAAAATCAGATTCCTGACCCTAATAGATACCTAGTGCACTTTTCTTTTTGCTTAAGTTTTATGTAAAACTGAGAACTTGATAATGATTTTCTTTTATAAATTCCATGATTGTTTCTAAGATTTTAACTCTCTCTTCATTGCACGAGTTTCCTCTTTCGTACAGGAAAGTATACCTCTGCTGAACAGAGCGCAGCAGAGTCAGCAGCGCTTCAGGAGCCTCACGCAAATACTTGTCTTCACTGATCCCCGCCTCTTCTATTTTTTCTGCATGGCTGAAAAGAACAGCAGTGTGGTTCTTCCAAGAATCTCCCAGAAGTTCCTGAAAGAGAGAGAAGTTAAATGACTGTTTGCCTTGGACTCTATTCCTCAAAAGTGAACAAAGCTGATATTAAAGCCCAGCGTCATTAGCCAACAGAGCCCTCCGTCATGATATTTGTGAAAGCTGATCTATGTAATGGGAAGTGGCTGTGAGCTCAAGTGTTGTTAGCACATTGAGGAAGATGGATGGGGTTTCTGAACAACAACAAACGGCTTTATTTGACTGTCTTGCTTGCTGTTATAATTGATATGCAAAGACTTAACGCTATAGAGAATCTGGCTACCCTGTATGTAGTATGGCCAGCACTCAGTGGTCGCTTATACTTACTCCACAACCAGATCCTGTGAGAAACACTCAGTTCCTTTAATTTGTGGTACTTTGGGCAAGGCAATTGTTACAACATCTATTTTTTTCTTTTTTTTTAATGTCATGTTATCACCACGAAAGTATCTACTAAGGGATTAAAATGACATAATCTGGTTATGCTCAATTGATTAACTAGATGACAACTAACGGAAAAGCTAAGATCAAAATCCATTTGGTGAGTTGGAACAGCTACACAAGATTACTGCAGCCCTCATGTTCCTCTTGCCACATGCCTGGAATCAAAGGCAATTGATCAAATGGCTTCTTCTAAATGGGCTTGAGAAGCGCTGAAGAGTGTTGTCCCTTTGTTTAGTGATATGTACAAGCGGGTTGTGCAATAAATTCTTCCTTGATTAGTGAAAATTAGCTGATATGAAGCAGAAACCACAGCATGTGACGTATTGCTCATCCAATGCTCAAGGCATCTAGGAGCAACCATTTAGCTTTTGAATGTTTCCAAACTTACATGAACTCATAGCCAAGTGACAGTAAAGTAACATTCTCTTCCTTCTGTATGCTCCCATGATTGAAATATTTTCAGTTTATAACACCAATTTAAAAATGTAAAATGTCTATGAAAATAGGACAAGAGATAGCAAGGACTTCTATCTAAACGAAAGCAAACAGAAATAAATGAAGAATTCGTGGCAGATATTATGCTATGCTTTTTCAATGGGCAATCTCTTTTAGTCACCTGCCGCCTCTCTCCCTCCCCTCCCTTTCTCTCCCATTTTGTGTTTTGTGAGACAGACTCTTACTCTGTCCCCAAGGCTGACCTCAAATATACCAACCTGGCGTTTGCCTCCTGAGTGCTGGGTTGGAGGCAGGCACCACCATGCTTTGACACGCATAATTTTTTGGTGTTCCACACAAATCTTTGCCCTAATACTATTACTATTCATGTCGTGGCATCAAAAATTGACACACTGAGCTACATACACATCAATAATGTTTTCATTGAAACAGTCTGGAAAGCTAGGTCGCAATGTATATAACAAATATGTGGTTGTATTTATGGTGTAGTAAAATAAATGGAAGGAGTAAAGAAAAGAGACAGTGAAGGAAGGAATTGGAACAAGTAAGTCTAATTGGAAAATATGTATGAAAACTCTGAGGCAGGGATTTTAGAGATATTTATGACTATGGATATTAATTCCAACTCCTGGAAACAGTCTGGCTGTTATCAGAGCCATTTATTTATACATATGTTACAGGAACTTAGCAGTGGCCTCTATGAAGACTCGTTCTGTGTCTGCGTTGTCATCCCAGGGTCCAGCACACTGTGAACTCTCAGCAATATCTGCTTAATATTTTGGAATTTGGATCCTCTTGGTTGAGTCAAATAGCAGGCTTAGTTGTTTAGTTTTGAGGGCTCGGTTCTGAATTTTATTCTCAGGGATACAATCCTGTACTTCTGAGTTTTATAGCTTCCTGTGGTAGATTTCTTACAGAGACTACCTGTTTGCTCTTACCTAATCAGAATATGTCTGTCTACACCGCAGAGTTACAGGTTCCCCTAAAATATCCTGTTTCAAGAAAACATGAGCCATCTTTTTAAAAACCAGTGTATGAGACAGCACTATCTTAACAGCGAATACATGAGGATTATGCAAAGCGGGGCTTCACTGGTCACATCTCCTGTGCTTTTAAATCCAAGTTCATTGAAAATCCTGTTTGTTCAACCACTGGAGATCACAATTCTACCAACCTAAGTATCCATATGATGCCAACAACCCATGACATGACAAAGGATTTTCGTAGGACTCTGTGGTGCTTGCAGTGTATTGTACATATTTCTGGTAGAGAGGAGACGCACGCTGCTATGTGAATGAGCATTGATATTAGCGTTGAACTGTGTCCTCTCCCTAATTCATTCACCAGCTCCTAATCCCCAGTCCCTCAGAATGTGACCTTATTTGGAAAGAGTGTCATGAAGATGTGATTAATCTAAGGAAAAGTCATTAGGTTAGCTCCTGGTCGAAAATTATTAATGTCCTTATAAAACAGGGAAATGTGAACAGAGACACAAATATAAGGAAAAGGTCATGGACCCTGGAAATAGTCATGGACAGGAGAAAATAGTCCAGGAGAAGGCCTGGGACACATCATTTCCTCATGGCTCTCAGAAGTAGCAGACCTTGCCAATTCTTTGAATTCAGACTTCTGACCTCAAGAACTAAGAGACAATAAATACCTGTTACTTGCCACAAAGGGATTAGCATGGGCCTGCAAGATGGCTCAGGGGATAAAAGTATTTACAGTTTGAGCCTGTATGTCTGAGTAATTCTGAAGGCTTATTGGGAGAAAGCCTGTTCTCATCAAGAGGAGAAGAGGCGCTCTGGCCTGGGTAGAGACCAATGTCCCAGCTAGGCCAGGTCAAGGAACCACCCCTTGGAAGGTAGACTCACCTAAGCCATGAAAAAGCAATAGGTAGAATAATTTTCTCTTTAATGTGCTACCATGCCTTTTCTTCCCAGAATCCCAGAATTCCCAACTCACAGTTCAGTGCTCACTAGGCCGCGGCCATGCTTCTTTAGGTCTCCTTTTAAAGCATGCTCTCCCTAACACTTCAAACATCCCCAGCATCTGGGGGCTTTCTTGCTCTTTTTTCAAAAGCCTCCCTTCCACCATTTGGCTGCTTTCCCACTGTGTATCTGATTTCCACACTGCCTTGAATGGCATGGCTTTTTTTCTTCCCTCCTCCATACTGCTCCTTCGAGTACCTGCTGAGATTCACAGTTTACCTGCTCTGAGTGTTTTTTAAATTCTAATAAAATTGTCCTTTAGCTTCTGTTTCAATCATTCTGAAATTATATTATTGAGGCTAAGAACCCCAAGAAGGGACTGGATTTTCCCAGTATCATCAGGCAACCAGGAAAGCCCCTCCCCCTCGAAGTTCCAGTAACGTGATGTCCCGAGTTAGATCCTTAGAACCCACACAATAGCCAATCCCAGTTATCCTCAGACCTCATGCTGTGACCCTGTAATAGACAGATGCTCACAGCCTACTGATGATGAAAGATAATACTAAAATTAAAAACAGAATTAACATAACAAAAGAGTAGGGATTGTATGATGTTGGACTTTATTTCCGCTCAGGTCCAGCTATTGATCATGCTCATATCTGAAAGTTTCTCACATTTAGCACCCCAGTGTACCATTTCTGTGCCCCAGAGATTGTCAGGATACTAAGATGTGTATGTACAAGTTAGGAAGTAACTGGTGCTGTGAGCCCTGGAGCACCACCAAACCCACCGTCCTGATGACTTTGGTTGGTACCTAGACCATTCTTGCCATTAAATATTTCTGAGTTATCATCATAATAAAAGTACACGCTAAAAACACTCTTTTGTACAACCTTTTCTAGAGATATATATCATAGCACAATTCTTTCTTTACTGAGTTAATGTTTTAAAAAGTAAGTGGCATAATTCTCTTCGTTCCTGGCTTTCCGTAACAACATGCCCCCCTTTTATTCTTCAGGTGGTTCCTATACTCCAAAGTTATCTCGCCCAGGAGGGATGAGTGAAATCACTGAACACCTTGGCAGTCACAAGCCCGCATGCTCAGTCACGGGATTTTTTCTTTTTAAAAATGAAAAGATACTTATGTCGTAAATTGTGAAAGAAAACACACTTTTGAGTTACTACCCAAACCAGAAAATAACGACAATTTACTTTCTAATTTTTGGTTAGTCTTTGACCAGAGAACAGTTGAATAGTGTCTCTTGGTGATAGTCATCTTGTCAGTGGCCGAGCATGTCCTCTGAGGACTCAGAAAATGAACAATCGTGGTTGATCGATGTCTCAAAAGAAATTCAAGGGCAATATAAGTAAAAGTAATTTATCTGGTGCTAATAATTTAAATATAGAACGAAGCCAAGTAGAAATGCTCCGGCCACGGACTGTTTGGTTTCACAGTGCTCGCAGGTATGAGTCTGTCTAGTCCTTTTGGGACAGCTAGTAAGAATATAAACTTTGTTTTCCAGGAATGGTTCATTTTCTCAGGACCTCACCAGCCCTGCCCCATTTGTTTGTGGTTGATGAAATCATAGCATCTGGACTTTTTAGGGGGAAACGTTAGAAAAAAAGCCAACAATTACATCAGCTGAGAAAAAAAAAATATCCTGGAACAGGAGGGTCACACGTACATGTATGTGTGTGTGCATGTGTGTGTGCGAGCGTGTGTGCGTGCTATTCCCTTACTTTCATCTCACTTTAAAGTGCTGCATTTTCTTTCCCAGATAGTCAAAGCTGAATAATAACACCTCAAGTCATACTTAGGGAATATTCAACACTAGAAAGCATCTCTCCAAATCGCCTCATTTTAAACATGAGAGAGAGAGAGTATTAAGGCCGTGTGATGGTAAGTAGCTTGATGGAAGTCACATGGTCACATTGTGATTATTGGCAGGGCTTAAGAAACCTTAAGAAAAGTTCCCTGACTGTTAAAACCTTGACTAATAGTGATATAAAATGATAACTCCCACAGCTAAACACTTATGATGCTCTTACATGCCAGAGTCTCAGTTAAAGGAGTTACTACTGCCAAGACCATGTTGCAACCCAAAAGGAAGTCAGTTAAGTAGATCCTCTCATCAGCTGTAACCAGTGAGGTTCAGAGAAGTTACCCAG